TTTTTTTTTTTTTTTTTTCCTTGTTTTCTTCGTCCTTTGGGCTACTGGCATTGTAGCCACCTTGAAAAAAGAAATGCGTATTTTTTCCTTTTTCACTGTTTTTCATAGTCCCTGGCCTTCAGAATGAACAGAAACGCTTTCAACTGGAAGAATTGAGAAAGTTTGGGGCCCAGTTTAAGGTGAGAGGAGTATGGGAGTGAGCCAGGGTGTAAGGATGGAGGGAGGGTGAGGGGGCTTATAGAAGAGGCACAGGACTAGGTGGAATAGAAGAGATGAGACCAAGCAAGGAGGAAGGAAGGAAGGAAGCCACGCCTGGGGTCTGGACCAGCTGTCTGGGCACTGTATGTGTGCTTTTCTCCTTCCAGCTGCAGTCCAGTAGCTCCCCTGAGACCAGCCTGGATCCTTTTCCTCCCCGGATCTTAAAGGAGGAGGCCAAAGGGAAAGAGAAGGAGGTTGATGGTCTATTGACTTCAGAGCCAATGGGGTCCCCAGTCTCCTCCAAGACAGAGTCCGTATCGGATAAGGAGGACAAAGCACCCCTGCCGCCGGCAGGAGCCACCGAGGGGCCAGAGCAGCCCCCGCCACCTTGCCCAAGCCAGACTGGCAGCCCCCCGGTGGGCCTCATCAAGGGAGACGAGAAGGATGAGGGCCCTGTTGCTGAGTGAGTAGGATGGGGAGCTGGGCAGGTGTCGGGGGAGATGAGCAAACTGTGAAGATTGACTTTGTTTTTCTCTCACAGACAAGTGAAGAAGTCCACGCTGAACCCCAATGCCAAGGAATTTAATCCCACAAAGCCTCTGCTGTCTGTGGTGAGATGGAATGGGCGAAGGTGGACTGGTTTCTCTGAGGGAGGCTTGGGAGTGGGGGGAGAGAGCATGGGGAGAGAGGTCGTGAAAGTAGGGCTGCTCTAGGGCAAACGTGTCAGGGTTGGGGGCGAGGGGTCACGATATGTGTGGCAGGTTTTTATGTGTTTAGGGTTTAGCTCAGGGAGTATGTGTGTTGGGCTAGTTCTGAACATAGGTTTCATTCAGATCCCTGATTTTGGCTTGAATGACAAGCCATTTAACTTTTTGGCTTTTGTTTCCTCACCTGTATTTTGAGAATACTCGTCTCAGGGGGTTCAGCGTGAGGCTTAAGCAAGATGAAGGGTAGAGTGTATCTGGCGTGCAGTGCTCCGTTACTGTTATAAGCCCAGGAGGGGCATACAGAGATCAAAATGCACGCATCCTCTGTTGTCTCTTACTACAGAATAAATCCACCAGTACCCCGACTTCTCCGGGGCCCCGGACTCACTCAACTCCTTCCATCCCGGTGCTCACAGCAGGCCAGAGTGGGCTCTATAGCCCCCAGTACATTTCCTACATACCTCAGATCCACATGGGACCAGCTGTTCAGGTAAGAGGAGAGACCGAGTGAGTCTAGGCTAAGAGGCTTGGCTGGGCTGGTGAGGACCGGGTCAGGCCGTTCTGGGCATTTGTTAGCAAGCTGCTCAGCCTCATTTGTATCCTTGTTCGTAGGCACCTCAGATGTATCCATATCCTGTATCCAATTCCGTGCCTGGACAGCAGGGCAAGTACCGGGGAGCAAAAGGTGAGCAGAGTTGGCAGGGCTGCTCCAGCGGCAGGGGGGTGGTGCTGCCTCGTTGCCTCCTGGCAGAAGGAACTTAAGCTTGGCGTTCTCTCCCTTTCCCCAGGCTCCCTGCCCCCGCAGCGCTCGGACCAACACCAGCCAGCCTCAGCCCCTCCGATGATGCAGGCCGCCGCCGCCGCCGGCCCCCCTCTTGTGGCTGCCACACCGTACTCTTCCTACATCCCCTACACCCCGCAGCAGTTCCCGGGCCAGCCTGCCATGATGCAGCCAATGGCCCACTACCCCTCACAGGTAACTGAGGCACGGGAGGGAGACGGGAGTACAGAGCTGAGGGTCACTCGGGTTTCGGTCCTGGCTCTGGCAGGACCCGTAGCAAAGCACTGGTACTCTCTAAAGCGCAGGTAAAACGGCGTCTCCTTGCTTGCACCCTTGTGAACGTTAAACAAGGTGGTTGCGGCAAAGCCGGAGTCGTGCCGTGTACGGGTTATCGGGCAGCGCGACATGCCCACCGCTCCTCTCTTGTCCTTCCAGCCGGTGTTCGCCCCCATGCTTCAGAGCAACCCACGCATGCTGACGTCGGGGAGCCATCCCCAGGCCATTGTGTCGTCCTCCACCCCTCAGTACCCTTCTGCAGAGCAGCCCACCCCCCAAGCCCTGTATGGTGAGTTCTGTGCCCTTCCCGAAGACTGCTCCTTAGCCCTCTCCGGTGTGCTTGGCGCTGATCCCTTCCCTCTTTCCTGCTGTAGCCACCGTTCACCAGTCCTATCCACACCATGCTACGCAGCTCCATGCCCACCAGCCGCAGCCGGCCACCACGCCTACTGGGAGCCAGCCGCAGTCCCAGCATGCGGCCCCCAGTCCCGTCCAGGTGCCTGCCATGGGGGATCCAAGTGGTTGGGGCAGGAGTGGGCGGCTGGAGGAGGGGGATGGAGCCGGGGGCTCATTCCCTTCGGGCATGGTCGGGAGTCGGTGGCGGGGGGTAGGCCTGGTACCCGAGGAGTGGGGTGGCACTCACCCTTCCCCTCCCCCTAACAGCACCAGGCGGGGCAGGCCCCACACCTGGGCAGTGGACAGCCACAGCAGAATCTGTACCACCCAGGGGCCCTGACAGGCACACCGCCTTCTCTGCCACCGGGACCTTCTGCCCAGTCCCCTCAGAGCAGCTTCCCCCAGCCAGCCGCTGTGTATGCCATCCATGCCCACCAGCAGCTGCCCCACGGCTTCACCAACATGGCCCATGTTACCCAGGTAAGAGCCCAAGGGACTTGCTTTCTATGGGTCTGTTTTGCCATCAGGACCCGGGTCCTGGGGCTATCCTGCTGCCCCTTTCCTCAGTGGTCTGAACACCAGGCTTCTCGGAGCCTGTGTGTAGCTTCTGGGGTGGTCCCAGCTGGGATTTTTTGTTGTTGTTTTCTGCAGGCCCATGTCCAAACTGGAATCACAGCAGCCCCGCCCCCTCACCCTGGGGCTCCCCACCCGCCCCAGGTGATGCTGCTGCACCCACCCCAGAGCCATGGGGGCCCCCCCCAAGGCGCGGTGCCCCAGAGTGGGGTGCCTGCACTCTCAGCTTCCACACCCTCACCCTACCCCTACATCGGACACCCCCAAGGTGAGCAGCCTGGCCAGGCGCCTGGATTTCCAGGAGGAGCCGATGACAGGATTCGTGAGTTCTCGTTAGCTGGGGGAATTTGGCATGGAAGAGCTGATGGGCTGCAGGTGGGGCAGGATGCACGGGTTCTGGGAGGGGAGTGAGGGGTCTTGGAGGCAGGGCTGTCCCACAGGGCGCCCGCCGACCTGCACCTGTCTGTGAAGTATGTAGGGTGGGCAGAAGCCACAGTCGCCGCCGCCAGGGGCTTGCTCCTGGCTCTGTCCTTTGCTTCCCTCCGTCCTCGCTCAGTTGTGATCCAGCAGCCCCCCTCCCCACTGCCTCCCCAGCTCTCAGTGACCCCGACTGTCTCCTGACTTAGCCGAGGTAAGGTCAGCGCAGCAGACAGGGCCAGGCTGGGGTGTGGGGGGCTGAGCTGGGCACACGAGTAAGGGCTCTGGCTCACTGGGAAACAGCGATTGATCTGTGCTTCTGACAGCCCCATGAGACACCTTGAGGAGGCCGCTCCTACCCACACACTCCCCCCACACCCCACACTGGACGGCATTGGATGAAGGGACAGCTGCTTGGGTTCTAATGCTCCTGCTCTCTTCTCTTTCCCCTCCAACCAGTTCAATCTCATCCCTCCCAGCAGCTCCCCTTCCACCCCCCGGGGAACTGAAGATTGTCCTGGCCGCGACCTGAGACCTCCATGAGTGGAGGGAAGAGTGATCTATGTCTCTTCCCCCAGCAGCTCGGACCAGTCCCAGCCCCCCACACCCCCCTTTACCCTGGGGGAGCTGGGGAATTCCTGCCAAGCACCTTGAAGGGGGGGCGGGGCTCGAAGTGGGCAGGGCCAGGGTCCAGCGGGGGTGGGGGGTTCCTGCTCTGCCCCTGCCCATCCCCACCCCATCTTGCCCTCCCATCCTCTCATCTATCCCCCGCTGGAGACGGAAGATCTTTTATTTTCTATTATTTATAACCTCAGACTTGGGCCCCCCTGTTTCTTTCTTCCCATTAACTTGAGTGACCGGCGTGAGAGACAGACAGACAGACAGATGCCCTACAAGGATGGTTGGACAAGGACTTTTACTTTTTATTACATAAAAATATTAAAAAAAAAAATTAAAAAAAATAAAATTTTAAACTAACTTAACCTGCCTGTGGTTTCCTCTGGAAAAAAGAGTAAGATAGCAGCTGTCAAGTCTTAGGTGTCATGAGGTGGCTCCCAGCAGTGGGTGGGGACAGAACCGCAGTACAGTCTGTGGGTGCTGGTCCTTCTGCCTCTCACTGCCACACATCACCCAGCCTCCCGGGGACTGTTCTCTCATGTTGATGTTGGCCTTGTCTTGAGGTTTCAGGTTTGTAGGTAGTTTTTAAGTTCACGTTTCTAAAAAGTTAGAACGTGTGTGGCGGGGGGAATCTCAGGCTCCACACCATCAGCACAGGGTTCAGTCTCCTGAACCATGAGATCGTGGTCTGAGCTGAAATCCCGAGTCCCAGTGCTCAACTGACTGAGCCACCCAGGCACCCGTTTTAATTGAAAATCATTTCCTCCTTAGAGCATCAGGGAGGTGGCACTAGTACTCGTGGGTAGGCAGGGGTGTTTCAGATGGGACCAAAGCCAGAGAAGGTGAGCTGAGGAGCAGGGCAGGAAAAGGATTACATACCAGGCTACAGATCCAGGGTGTGAGGGTTGGAAACCTGGTAGTTGGGGGGCATGATGTGGGTATATAGAGGTAAATAGAAAACAGATGTGCATGGGTGGGGGTCCCCAGTGGAAGAGCTCTCTTAAGGGATGGCAATTGTGGTTGGGGGTGGGGCACTGATGGAAGAGGCAGCAGCAGAAAGCCAGATGAGCTCAGAATGTCTCTGGTGCAGATGGAGACCAGTCTCCGAAGTACTGAGATGGAATTGCTGTGGGTGCTGGGTGGTCCTCCTCAGGGAAGAGAACTTTGCTTCGTCCCACCAGGAATCCCGGGAAACCTTTCAGCCTTGCTCACTGACTAAAGCAAACCTGCCCTATCTTTGGACAGGACTTCTCGTGAAGTGCTTTTTGTTGCTGTCCTTTTCTTGAGCCCACTTCCGTGCTGTGAAGTCACAGGTTGGATGGTGACTCTCAAAACAGCTCTTAGGTTGGGCCTAAGAACCTCCCCACTCTGGTCAGTGTGGAAGGCTGGTCAGTGTGGAACAGGCTCATTTGTCAGGAAGCAAGGCTAAAAGGTGCCCGTTAGTCCCTGTTGGAAGCTAACCTTTTTTGTTTGGGGTCAGCATCCTGGTCAGTCATTTCAAGTTTTCAAACATTTTACTCCCCATTTATCTGGTAAAAAGTCCTCTCAATTTTAAATCTCGGTACATGCTCTAAACCTTCATCTTTGAAGGTTTTAAAGTTATACAATGAAACCTCCAATTGAAGATTGTCCTGTGTTTGGAATTGGTAATATGTAGTGGGGATAACCTATCAAGCACAGGGACCTCCTTAGGTGCTGGGTGTTGGTCCTGGAGGTGAGCAGCAGCGTCCAGTATCTTAGCGCTTAGACGAGGGCAGGTAGACGTTAACAGCCTAGTAACTACTCCCCGGGCACGGGAGGTGTGTCTGGCACCTCAGCCGAACCCATGCTGCGTCTCCCCCAGGACAGCCAGCAGTCTCCTGCCACGGCACTTTGCTAGACGATCCGACCCAATTCGCTAGACCAGCTTTCCTCCTCTCCTTATGTCCCAGTGGTTCGGACCACTTGAAAACGCAAAGCTTTTCCAAAACGGTACCACAGACGTGAACTGAAGGGCAGCACACAAGCTCATGTGTCCCAGGCTCCCTGTTTATACTCCTCCATCCTCTCCAACTTAGAGCAAGGACACGAGAGACACAACCTCCCTATTCACAGAACAGTTTATTGACCTACCTCACCTGGCAGGCCATGGGCCCCTCCTGACCAGGAGAAGTGTCCGTCTAGCTGCACTGCTAGGCAGCAGCCCATGCCCTGGGAAGGGGGCATCGAAGCAGGAGAGAACGCTGGCCAGTGCAGCCTCAAACTCAAGAGAGCCCAAGCAGAGTCCAGACTCAACTCCATTTGATGTTCTTGTCTTCCTCAGTCAGGGCCGACGTCTCCGTGACGAGGCCAGTGCCGATGGTCCGGTTGCCGTCTCGCAGGGTGAAACGCTGGCCTTTTTCTAAGATCATGGGCTGCCGCAAGATTAGGCTGAGCTTCAGGTCCTCCCCGGGCATGGCAAGCTCCTGGACAGGGCAGAGACAGGGTTCAGGCATGGCCCTCGGGGCACCTTTCCCCCAACTGCTGCCTACCAAGGTTAAAAGTTACAGGAAATGGCAGCAGGGAGATCCTTTCTGGGGACAGCTTCACTCCAGCCACCAGCAGAGGTAAACATATTTGAAGACCAAAGGACTTGTGACCAGTGTTCCTAAGGTCCAATGTTGAAAGGAAACTAGGCCATGCAGGTTTCTTAGTCACAAGACTTCTCTGAGTTGTCATGCACAGTATATAATTCTTCAAGGGAGAATGCTTTTCTGGGAGATCTTTCTGTGGGTAAATGCTAGCATGGCTAAGTTCACCCAGGCAATACTAGATGAAGACAGACTTCTCCTAAACCCATTGGGTCAGACCCATCTATCACTAGCTTCATCTACACCAGTCAAGGAAAAGTCACCCGTGTTGTCACATCTTTGGCACCACGAGTGAGGTAGAGCTGGTATGAAGAGTGTCTCTGCCACTCTTTCACGTTCCCTATGTGCACTATACCTTCCCTGGTGGCAAGATGACACGACAGGCCATGTCCCAAGTCAGAGAGAACATGACAGGCATAAAGTGAGACACAAAAGGCTTGTGGCGGCCACCCTCCTCCTTGCTGAGGATGTAAACCTGGAAGAGAGAGCAGCAAGGGTGAAGCTGTGCTTGGCTGGAAACACTGCCTCTTTGCAGAGGACAGTCTGACTCAGTGATGCCCACCATCCCCTGGAGCCCTCACCTGTGCCTCCACCTTCTGGTGGGGTTGGATGGTCCCTGGCTTGGCCATGACCAAGCCACGCCTCAGGTCCTCCCGCTTCAAGCCTCGGACCAGGGCCCCAAGGTTGTCGCCTGCCTCTGCTCTCTCCAGGCTCTTGTGGAACATCTCAATGCCTAGGAAGGAGAAGAGACCAGGGAGGAGGATCAAGGACGGAGGGAAGGCACCAAGGAGCTACAAGGGGAAATCGTGGAGCCAGCCCCCGGGGTCCCAAGGCATCTTTCCTGTACCTGTCACCACGGTCCGAATGTTCTTGCTATGTCCCAGGAACTCACACTCGTCTCCCTTCTTCAGAATGCCACGCTCTAGTGTACCTGTCACCACGGTGCCCCGGCCTGGGAAGAAACAGAACACGACCTCAGGGACCCGGGGCCAGGCTACCACCAGAGAGGAGTGCAAGTAAACACACGGTCCTCACCAGGAATAGAGTAAATGGACTCTACAGGCAGCAGGAAAGGCTTCTCTAGGTCCCGGGTGGGCACTGGGATGTAAGTGTCCACAGCATCCAGCAGCTTCTGCACAGACTTCAGGCCTAGCTCAGGGTCACGTTGCTATGTGGGGGAGGTGACAGGACTCAAATTTTCATTCTGCTTCTCCTTACTAAGAGACGCTCCCCCGACTCCCAGCAGAGCTCCGGATGCCCCTCCAGCCCCATCCTTTGCCACCAGCAGCCCCTGCCTGAGCCCGCCTTCACCTCAAGGGCACAGAGGGCAGAGCCTACGATGACCGGGGTCTCCTCCCCTTTGTAGCCAAACTCAGTGAGCAGCTCCCGGATCTCCAGCTCAACCAGCTCCACCATCTCAGAGTCCTGGACGGCATCTGCTTTGTTTATATACACCACAACGTGCTCTACTCCAATCTGTGGACGGGAAACAGAGAGACATGGTGTCCTGAATGGACCAACTCCCCACTCTTCCTCTTTCCACCCCTCCCCAGGCTCTGAGTACCTGTCTGGCCAGCAATAAATGCTCTCGGGTCTGGGGCATAGGGCCGTCATTGGCCGCCACCACCAGGATGCAGCCGTCGAGGGGGGCGGTGCCTGTGATCATATTCTGGGTAGGAGAGGAAACAGCCTAGTTCAAGGACCTCCTCAGCTCCACGTCCATCTAGCCAAGCACAGCGGTTAGGAACTGAGGCCCACCTTTCTCTGCCATCTCCTTACCACCCACCTTGGAGTGGCCGTGCCCAGATATCCGTGACCTCAACCCACACATCTTGAATATCCTAACCTCCCCCTCCAGTCCAACATTTTTCCTGGCAGGAGACAGCCCCTGGCCCCACACCCAGCAACTCTCTCACCTTTACATAATCTGCGTGACCTGGGCAGTCGGTGTGGGCATAGTGGCGGGCGGCAGTGCTATACTCCACGTGAGCTGCATTGATTGTGATTCCACGGGCTCGCTCTTCAGGGGCATTATCAATCTCTTCATATTTCTTAAACTTGGCTCCACCTCCCTCGGCTAAAACTAAGGGGAAGGAAGAGAATAAACCTCTCACGTAAAGTTCCAGGAGTAGAGGCAAGGCTCAAGCCACACCCCTGAATCTCCACCTACACAAAGGACGGTCTGGGGGAATAACACTTCCTTGACCCCCTCCCTCAGCTCCTGAGCAGAGGTAACTGGGGTCAGAAAGAAACGTTAGAAGGCCTCAAGGTCCAGCCCTGCGAATTCTCTAGGGTAAAAGCCTTTGCTTACAGAGCACCGGCCACGGCTAGAAAGAAGCCACTCGGGCTCCCCAACTTCTGCATCACAAACACTTTTGTGTGCAGGGGAAATGTGTTTCCTGCATCTTCCCGCCCACCGTTCGCCCAAGTTCTGGCCCCTGGGGCCACGCCACCTCCAGCAGCACCTCCCCGGCTCCAGGTCCCGCCAGCAGAGAGGGCGTTGCCGCACGTCCCCAACCAACCCCGCTTACTTTTCGTGATGGCCGCGGTCAGTGTGGTCTTGCCGTGGTCCACATGGCCGATGGTGCCCACGTTCACATGGGGCTTGTCGCGCACGTAGGTCTTCTTGGCCTCCACGGCCAGGCCGCGGCACAAGCGGGGCAGTGCCGGGGCCTTCAGCGGCCGCAATAGACCCTGCAACAGCGGGGTCGGGCCGGTGCCGAGACCTGCGGGGGAAGAAGCTTGGAATCAGAGCGCGGGTCCGAGCCCGGCCACTCCGGACGACGCCCCAAGCGTCCCGGGCCGCCATCGCCTTCCCCGCCCCCTCACCGCTCAAGAGGGGCGTCGCGCGCAGCAGGGTGGTGGCCGCCATTGTGGTCGTACTCGCGCCCGGAGTACCCGGTCCAGGGCGCCCGCGCGTGCAGAAAGGAAAGGGCACGGGAGAGCGGAGGTCACTTCCGGCGGAAGTGAAGACAGGAAGGGCATGCCGCGGTCCCTCTAGCCTCCAGTTTTTATGGCCATCTTTACGACTTCCGGGCGTGGGACCAAAGGCGACGCCCGGAAGGTGCTGGTGTTTCGCGGGCGCGGAGGGAGGGAGACGGTTTCCACAAGGCTCGCGGACCTCGAACCTCGCGGACTGACGGGGCAACGCAGGTGTCTTTGGCGGCGCCGGGGACCGACGTGGAGCGTCCGGTCGCGCACCAGAGCCCCGCAGGCTCACGGGAGTTGTAGTTCCGGGTGGGGCGTGCTGTGTTTGCGCTGGTGGTGGGAGTCCCGTAGGGCTAGGCCGGGTCTGGAGCGACGGTCCCTGCCTCCGGGAGGCGGAGGCGGCGGCGGCGGCCCCGGCGCGGCCTGCTCGGGAACGGCCTGGCTCAAAGCACCCTGGAGTCCGACCCACTGCGGGGGTCTGGCGAGAGATCTGGCGGCCCTTGAGCCGCCGCCGCCGGAGGTAGGACCAGGCCCTGCGGCCAGGCGAAGAGAGGCGGGCCTGGGAGCCTTTCGCGGGTGGGGCGCAAGTGTGACACATCTCTCCGCCGAGTCTTTGTTTTCTTATCTGTAAAATGGGAACAGTAGGATCTACTTCATGGGGAGAGTCTGACATCTGGCTCTGAGAAAATGAGCTGGACAGGAAGCAGGAAATACGGTCCAGGGGCCTCCAGGTCCCACAGTCCTTGACCCTCAAATCCCTGCCCGCCTGGGTCACACAGCTGGCGGGGACAGCCCTGCCGTCCACCCCTGAAGCCCCTCAGCAGGCCAGGAGCTAATTCCCTTGATTTTCGCCCCACCCACTCATCCAGTTTTACTAATGATACCAAGATTGAGGAACCGGCCTCAGGTGCCTGTAAGGGTAGCCTGTCATGTTCCTGCGGTATCCCTGGCACCTGACACAGGGCGGGGCACCCAGTGAGTGCCCAGTGAATTTCTGTTGACTGAGTGCAAGGCTAGCAAATGACCTTTAGCTTTCACATCTATCATCTCATCACCTTGCAATGATAACAGCAGCTGCTTAACCCTGATTGATGTTTCCGAAACTCATCAGATCCTAAGGCTCAGTTGACGGGTTTTGTTTCAAATAGATTTCCTAATTCCTCCCTGAAAAATTATGATTCAAGAGGGTCTCTGAGCACAGATGGGGAAACTCTTTATTTATAACACACAGCTTCCCAAGCTCAAAGGAGTTTGGGAAACTCAGAACTAGAGCTTTGTGTGGATCAGGCGTTGTGCAAATGCTTTATATTGGTTCACATTCAGCATTCCCAGTGTTCCCGCTTGTGGTTGAAGCCATTCTTTCCCCGCTTGTGGTTGAAGCCATTCTTTCCCCCGTTTTACAGGTGAGAAAACTTGAGCCTCAGGGTGATTTAGGAACCCAATACCGCTAAACTCCCAGAAAAGTATGCACTTAACCACTGTACTGTCCTTTAACTGCCAATATACTTTTCAAATAAAATGAAGAACTTGCTAAGACATCTGTCCTGGCCCTCCAACCCATCAGCTCCACTTAGGAAGGCCCGGGGCCATAATTAAAAGAGCTTCTTTGTCTTTATCCTGTATTTCATTCACTCCTCTCCTAGGAATGTCTCTTAAGACACTATTGGCCACTATCAGAATATGAGACTGGGGCGGGGGGTGGGGGGGTGGTATTTGAACGAATCCCTTCTATATTAGTTTATTCGAACATGTATTAGTTTGAAAAAAAGGTAGCAAATACTGCACTTAAAAAAATGAGTCAACTTAAAAGCCAGTGTTGGTAAGTAATATGGGTGGTATAAATACATGGCAGAGTTGGGCGAATGTGGTGCACGAATGACTGAAATTTGAAAAACGCCACACTCGGAAGAGTCCAGAGGGAGAAAACCTTTTGTCCCGCTGTTGACTGTAGCATCCTCTGCAATAGTTAGGAGTCTTGATTTACAGATAACAGAGTCTACGTTGGCTGGTTTGCACAGAAGGAGGACGTGTTTAAGGGTTTGGGGCAGCTTACAGAATCGTGGGACAGGCCGGAGCAACAGCTCCCTTACGGAACTTCCGGAACCTGGTAAGACAGCTATTACCACCACTGCCACCAAACCCTAAACGCCGGGGCCGAGACTCGTCTGCGACGCCTCCTGCTCATGGCACCAAAGCCACCTCTGCCTCAAGAAAGTGACCCGTCCGACTTCCCAACCCTCCTGCCCCCAAAGTCCGGCAGATTCAAAGCCCCACCTGAAGGTGTCTGGCCAGAGAAGCCTAGATCGTCATAGGTCAGTGTTCTTGTATCAGAGGAGTCTGAGAGATGTCGCCCGACATCTCTCTCTCCTGTCTCCTGTCTCATCCTGTCTCCTGATGGAGAGCAGGATCGCGAGCACGGAATTTCCCCAGATGTCCAGCCGTGCTCGTGAAGAGGCTGAAGAGCAGAGTGAACACAGCTGTCCATTACGGGGAAATGGGAGCATGAGTCTGGTGTAGCCACCGGCTGAAGTAGGAATGGAGTGGGCTCAGACTTGCAGAGGTGTGGGGAGCCAGCCACCTGGGAGTGTGCTCGTGAGTGGTGCCGAATGAAGGTGGAAGGCTGGCTGCCATAGAAAAACAGCATCCGGGGGAGGGGGCGGTGGGGACAGCGACCAAGGAAGTGGAAAACAATCAGGACTTCGGGAGGCTGTGAATTTGTGTAGAGAAAGTTTTTTCTCTTTCTGACGTGTCTTTTGTATGATTATAAAGAGAGAAACTGCATTCTTTGTGCAGAATGTTGCACTCTAAAAAGGCACGCTTGAAATCAAATGGCCTTCTGGGCCCCCCCTAGCGATCTATGCATTGGAGCTCCTGCTTAACAGCATTTTTCCGTCTTCCTCCAGGCACGGCCCTGATTTTGTTGAAGGTGGCCCTTCCCTGAGTTCCAGGAATAAATCCTGACAGGTCTGCTTCTGGTGGTCCTATTCTCCTTGCCAGGGGGGTTGTTTAGGGGGTGGCTTCTTTGGGGCCAGTGTTTGGTAAGAGGAATCTCCTTTGGGGGGCTTCCAGGGAAGGGTCCCTCTTTTTTTTTTTTTAATGCTTATTTTTATTTGTGAGACACACTATGAGTGGGGCAGGGGCAGAAAGAGAGGGGGACCAAGAATCCGAAGCCGGCTCCAGGCTCTGAGCTATCACACAGAGCCCGACGCAGGGCTCGAAACCGTGAACCATAAGATCATGACCTGAGCCGAAGTTGGACGCTCAACCGACTGAGCCACCCAGGCGCCCCAAGGGCCCCTCACTCTTAAGGAGACACCGAAGAGAGAGACCGCCATCTGACTCTGGGTGTTGCTGGGTCTGGGTGTGAAGCCTGGCACTACTCTGCCCTTCTTATTTCCAGTCAGTGATGAAGCCAAAATCCAGAAGAGGGCAAAAGGCAGAGGGTTTTAGATGACTCCTTGAGGTGTGGTGACTAATGTCCTTATTATTTAAGTCAGACTGTGTCAGAGTCGTCTGTCGTCTACATTCAAATACATCCTAACAGATAAGCTGTCTCACAGCATGTAATACCCTGAGGCCTAATTCTTGGTTTCCCCTCTCTGAGACTGAGTGGCCTGAGTAGGGCCAGGACTGGGCTTCCTTTATCTCTGTATCCTCTGCCTGGCCACTGTAGGCCTCTGAATGACTGCACTTGAACCATGGATGAGGCTTCTTCCAAGGGTGCCACCACGTGGTGCTACAAACATAACGTGTCCAAAACACGACCCTCCGCTCGCCCCAGGCTGTGTGCTTACACATCTGAATACACACAGCACCAGCACCCAGTCCTGCTGGTCATCTTTCCAAAACATACCTTGAAGGTGACCACTTCTGTCTGTCTCCACTGTTGACACTGTGGTTCGGTCCAGAATCATCTGTCACCTAGGTTAGCTCCCTGGCCTCTACAATGGGTCTCCCAGCTCCCATTCCCCTCAATATCTGGCCAATCCACCCTCCACACAGCAGTCAGACCAGGCTTTAAAATGTGGATCAGGGGGTGCCCGGGGGGCTCAGTCGGTTAAGCGTCCCGACTCTTGGTTTCAGCTTCACGATCTCCCAGTTCGTGAGCTCGAGCCCTGGGTCAGGCTCTGTGCTGACAGCACAGAGCCTGCTTCGGATTCTCTCTCTCCCTCCGCACTTTCCCTGCTCACACCCTTTCTGTCCCTCTCAAAAGAAATAAACATTTAAAAAAGATAATAAAATGTGGATCGGAAGGAGCACGTGGCTGGCTCAGTCAGTAGAGCACGTGACTT